TTTCTCATAGAACTTGTATATTCAAATTTTCACAAATTTTTTACACCATCTAGAAGTTATTCTTGAATCCAAATTTTAATATGGGTCAATTTTATTTTCCTCAAATCTGACAGGCATTGTAACAGCATCATTTTTTAATAATGCACCATTTTCTCAATGAATTAAAATATTTTTATCTTCAATTAAATGCCTTTATTTAGCAGAATCAATTTTTGGATTATTTCCTCCACTAATCCACTTGCCTATTCTTGTATCAATATTGTATTGATTCATTACAGTGATTTTATCGTGTAATCTTACATCTAGTAAGGCAGGTTTCCTCTTACTTTTTAATTAAAAAAACATCTTGTCACTTTTTGCCCCATATAAACTAAGGATCACATCATCCAAATTTAATGAACAAAGTAATTTACATGTACAATACATGTATATATGAATTTTGGGAGTATTAGCTCTTTTTATTTGTATTCTTTCTGATCTGTCTATCCATCCATGCATTCATGCATCCATCCATCCATCTTGAGACAGGATCTTGCTCTGTCACCAAGGTTGGAGTGCAATGGCATGACTAGGGCCCACTGCAATCTCAACCTCCTGAGTCCCACCACAGCCTCCTGAGTACCTGGGACTACAGGTGCGCACCACCATTTCTCTGTAAGAAACAGTGTCTCACTATGTTGCCAGGACTGGTCTCTTAACTCCTGGGCTCAAGAGATCCTCTGGCTTTGGCCTCACAAAGTGGTGGGGTTGCAGGCATGATCCTCTTCACTCCATCCTCTTTTTATAATATTAATTCTCTCTACCTCAAATATGTCTTCCCTTTTGTTCAAATCTTCTTGTATGCCCTTCAAAAAATTATAGTTTTCCCACTTGGAAGTGTGCTTTTTGTTAAATTTATTACTAAATATTTTATATAATTTTAGGTGCTTTTGTGAATAGAATATTTTTTCCCATTTCCCTTTCTAGGTACTGCTGGGGCTCAGAAAGCAATAGCCCCAAGTGAAAGCCTAAGAAGCAGCCTCAGAAGCAAAGTTACCTTCTGACCACCTCTTTCCCTCCTGTCTCTCATTTTCCTCAGAGACAAGCCACACTAGAATCCCTCTTCCCCAACGTGGGTCATAGAAACCAGAATCCCTTTCCTCCAAAGCCAGATTTAAAGCATAAAATATTATTCTAACCTCCCCCATAGAAACCAGAACCTTTTTTCTCCAAAGCCAGCTTCAAAGCCTAAAATACTATTCTAACTTCCCCTACTTCTTTCTGTGTAACAGAATAGATGACCCTAAAGAAATTAAGACCCTCATTCCACAGGAGTCCTACCTTCATACCCAGGAGAAAGGAATGATGCATAGAGAGACCTTATTGAGTTCCCCCAACTCAGCCAGTTAGTGTTAGACCATATATCCTTTTTGTCCAATCATAGCTCTACATGCTCTCCATACTTTATTGAATTTAAACATAAAAAATGGATAGTTCTCGCTATATCTTTGTATCTTCTTTCTGAAGGACCTTGTGCCATGTAAAACTATGATCAAATAAATTTGTTACTCTTTTCTCTTTGTTATAGGGGTATCAGCTGTGACCCTTATAATAGAAAGGAAAGGGCTGACTTTCTTGTTGTCCCTAGAGTTCTTCTATTCTGAATAGAGTTTTAAATTTTTAGCTAAACATCATCTTATTAATTTTATAAGTATTTGGGGTTTTTAACTATTCGGTAAATCATTATAAGAAGAATATTCTAATTAGACTTTGTCAGATCTTGAAAAAATATTGAGAAATATTATTTATAGAAGTTAAATCCTATTCACATCCTAATTTTGTCTTAAATAGTTATAGTACTTCACATTTTAGGAAAATACTGCTTGTCCTTGATTGAGAATATTTTACATTTAAGTAGTTTCCTTAAATGAAATTTTAATAAGAATAGCTAGTTGATTATTGTCATGCTTATCAATCTATCATTGATTAACTACCTGACATGGAACATTCCATCTTCATGAAATAAACTTCATTAGGCCATAGGTATTACTATTTTAATTAAATGAAAGTGAATTAGACATACTAGTATTTCCTTTCCAATTTTTATATTTCTATACTTCAGCAAACTTAGACATTTTTCCTTTTTATACTATCTCGATCAAGATTTGGTATTAGGCCAGACATGGTGGCTCATGCCTATAATCCCAGTCCTTTGGGAGGCTGAGGTGGGATGATCACTTGAGCTCAGGAGTTTAAGACCAGCCTGAGCAACATAGGGAGACCTCATCTCTACTAAAAATAAAAAAATTAGACAAGTGCATACCTGTAGTCTCAGCTACTTGAGAGGCTGAGGCAGAAGGGTCAGGAAGCAGAGGCTGCAGTAAGCTATGATGGCATCACTGCCCTCCAGCCTGGGCAAAATAGTGAAAACTTGTCTCCAATAAAAAAAAAAGATGGGTATTAAAATTATGCTAAATTCATAATATTAACGGAAATAATTTTCCAAATTTACCATGGTCAGGATTAGTGTAAAAGGCATTGCTATTTCCTCTTTTTTTTTTTTTTTTTTTAAAGAATTAAATAACTGCAAAGCCATTTGGTCAGGGTGTTTTTTTCTATATACTTCAGCTACCTTCTGATTTCTATTATGGTGATGACATTCAAATTTTATAACTATTAATCAAGTTTTAATAATTTATATTTTGTTAGGATATCATTCATTTCATCTAGGTTTTGCAAGTTACCAGAGAGTTGCAGTTTTATTATCTTATGATGAACTTATCTTGTGTCTATGGTTGGTCTTCCTTCTCAATCTTAATCACATGTTTTAGCTCTAGAAATCAGGCTCAAAAGTGATTTTGCTATTTTCAAAGACTGATCTCTTGCGATTTCTTTATCCTTTCAATTTTTTTCTTTTTTTTTTTTTTTTTTGTTTATAGTTTCCTTGATTCTAGCTTTTATCTGTATTAATTCCTTCTTCACGGCTTACTCTGATCTGCTTCCTTTTTCTTATCTAATTTATTCTGTTTGACAAAGAAATCATTTTGTCAATGAAGTAAAAAAAGTCTCAAGATTTGAGCTAAAGCAGTAATATTTAATAAAATGAGATTGTGAGGCTAGGGATTAGAATACATGTCCCAGGTCTGTCCCCATAAAGTCACTTATGCCTTCTAGCAAATCACTTCATCTATCTGTCTAATAGTTTCCACATCTATAAACTAAAAAGAATATACAGCCTGATAGTTCCTGTTAGGTTAAAAAAAATTACACATGGTAAAATTTATAAACTTTAAGCTACATTTGAGAAAGTGGAGTGTTTAAAGGAATAAGAGCCATTGAAATCACTGGATTGGGAATCATTGCCTTAAGAAACAACAATATCTTAGGAAAATTCAGTTTTTCTATGACAGTAAAATATGACTGGCCCTCTTTATCTGTGGATCCCACATCAATTGATTCAACTAACTGCAGATCATAAAAAAAGATAGGTGCATCTGTACTGAACATGTACAAAACTTTTTTCCTTGTCATTATTCCCTAAACAATAAAGCATAACAACTGTTTAAACAGTATTTACTTTGTATTAGGTAAGTAACTTAGAGATGATTTGAAGTATATGGGAGGATGTGTGTAGGTTATATGCAAATACTGCACCGTTTTATATAAGGGAATTGAGCATCCATGGATTTTGGTATCCACTTCTCCTCAAGTACAAAGGGACTGCTGTATAAAAGAGGTCTATACTTCATGCATGTTCACATCATAACGAAGTGAACTCATACAATGTTTCACAAATATGAATGCTCTAATAAAACATCTTATTAAAGAAGGTACATCTAAGTTACACTGCAGAAGACAGATAGATTTAAAATATTAAAAATTAGTACCATGTAATTAAACCACATCTTCATATTATTCTTGGAAGAAATGAAATAATCTGGGGTCAAATGGTAGGCTTCAGGGACTCCATAAATTCTGTGATCTTGCAAACAAAAGCTTATGTGTATTTATTTATAGTTTTATGGGGAGAGTTAATCACATTCATTAGATTTGCAAAGAGTTTGGGACCAAGAGACTAAATACTATTCTAGATGACGAATTAAACTTTCTATTCTTAGTGTCTAATTAAACTTTTCCATGGTCATATTTTTGGAACTTCACCAAAGAGACTATTTTGCTGTTGAATAGCTACAACTAGTAAAAACTCTAGTCCACATCAAGTCAAAACTTCAACTTTTGATAGGAACTATAGTTCACATCAACTCAAAATTACCTCTCAAATTCCCATCTATTTTCTTGACTCCAGTCTCTGATGAATGACAGAATAAAACAATTTCCCATTCCTGAAAACAGTCCTTTATGTATTTGGAGAGACCCATCTTAGCTCCAAGATATTTTTCTCTTTTAAAATGATGGCTTTAAACAACAAATCATGTAAACTCTACTCCCTAATTCAAAATGTTTCTTTATAGGCAGATGGTTTTACCACTCATTCATGTAATATTTTATATTTTTAAAAAGTTCTTTAGTTATACATCACTTTTTCTGATAGAAGGGTGGATCACTCTAGATTTATTTGTGAATTTCGGAAAATTCAAAGCAAACAAGTATATTATGTTGATGTATATGTCCCCATGAGTTCTACAGAATTCTCACATACTTATTTACTCTGCTAAATTCTTAGAAATAAACTCATAAAAATGTTTAAAAATTATTTTTTGACTATGAGTTATTGTCAAAATATTATTTGTGGATGGATTCCAAAACATTTTCAGTCTTGTAAGTGGAAGACATTTTTGTATTTCTTTTTATGGATTCAGAAAGGATAACTGAAAAATAGCATTACTTTAAGTGGCACTAAAAATATCACTTACATTAATTATTTTTGGGGAAAAAAATTGAGAAAATATTTAATGGAGTAAAATATAGCCCATGCAAAGCAGAACAAACTCCAAAGTGGTAAGCCAAGCTCTGTAAAACTAAGAACGAAAATCAAATAAATATGCAACGGTATTACTTACGGATACAACTCTGAAAGATGTTCAGCTAATGCATAAGCTGTCGGGTCTCTGTCCAAGGCATACAAAACAATATCTGACTCCTTCTGTAGAATGGCTTTTGTGTGCCCTCCCGAACCAAATGTCATATCTAGAAAAATCTAGCAAACACAGAAAAAGAAAATTACAACTTAGCATAAACAAAACTTATTCTTGACAACTATCTCAATTTCTAGAAGCACACAATGATTTTCAGAGTTGACAGTAAATAGGAAAATAATTACAATGGTTTTGTCTATGGTTGAATTTGTTATATGTGAGATCTGGCTCAATTATGAGTGATCAGTCTAAAAGAACTGATCAGACTATCAGTAAAATAACCTCTGACACAGACTGGCTAATTCAAGACAAATTTATATTTCTCTCTATAAGGTCAAACTGGTCACACTGTTGTGCCCCCAGCTCTTTAATACTTTCCAGCATCCAGCTGGTAATAACATTTTCAATAGTTTCTCATTTGGAGATGGCTTACAATTAGTGTGGCTCATTTTATCTCAATTTCTCTTAATGCTTTCTATGAAAATGATACTCAAGAAGAGAAAAGACAGAGAGATAGAGAGAATAAACATCCATAATAATAAATAGGCACAGGACAAATCAGATAAAATCTTGAAAACTGACAAACTTACAGATTATATCTGTAATAACAAAATAACAAATATGAACTGAGAAGAAAAAAAAAAGCTTTTCAAGTCAAAATACATAGGGTAAATTCTAGGTTTGACATGAAGTATTTATGTCTTTGGGATCGTTACTTAAAGCTGCAAAATTCCAGTGTCTTTAGCATTTAAAAAGAAAATGAAGAAGAAAAGAAGATACTATCACCACCTGCCTAATTGGTAAGGTAACATATCATTTCTTGTGTAAATCAAAATACTTTTAAGAGTGAAACATTTGCCAGTAATAATTTTGCCAGGACAACAGGATAGGATGTACTTGAGTACATATCACTCAACGCTTGGCTCATTCCAGATATACAGTATGGTTAATTGAATCTGAATCTATTTCTTGGCTATTTGGCCACACTCCAAAGAGAAAAGTCATGTCACAGTTGAGCAAGAAACCAGACCTGGATTATAAGAAATACATGTGTGTACTAGTTAGTTGATTGTGACTAGTTTGCAACTCAAGACATTCTCCACATATTCCCTTCAAGTTATGCTCTTAGTTTAATGGGACCTTTCAGCAAACTTCATTGGTGTTATGAAAATAAAAACAATTACTCTAATAATATTGACTACAATGATGAATAACATAAGTCTATTGGCTAGATTTAAAAATACCTAAACATACAATTTTCTTAAAGTTCATGTGCATAGTACATAAGAAGGGAAATTCCTGTCATTTGAATATATTTCCCTGCTCTGAATGTTTCCACTTATTTCAGGGACAGTGATCGGAAACTGGGCACGCAATTATGCTTTGATTTTTTGGCTCCTATCTACCATGCTGAGTCCCATCCTCTGATCATGTCCTCATAAAAGTTAGCCTGCTATTGAAAGAATAACATGGAAGAAATCTTCTGATCAAAATTAGAGGATGGACATAAAACAGAAAAAGATGTAAATGTGGTAAAAATGTACAAGCATTGCTTTTTAACACAAATGTTTTAGTGTGACTTAACTTTGTACTTCTATCGCTGTCACCATAAAAGGCATGGCTAAATATATTTTTCACCATTTTAAACAATATCTTTTTATTTTTAGAAACACTTAAATCTCAAGATGAAATAATTTCCTTTGCCAGTAACTTATTTTATACATCTATGAATTGGTAAAATCTTCCACTATACATTACATCAATTTAAAAATTTTAAGAAGTTCAACATAATTTAACCGAAGAATTTTTTCCCAAGCAAAATCATAAACTACTTCCTTGTCATGGTATTAATACCAAGCCTTGCTATAACTCTGGATTTAAACTAAAAGTAGATTAAATAAAACAATTTAGATATGATTACCCTTATTCCAAGACAAGAAAGTCCCAATCAGTATTTAAAGAAAAATCATCATCATTAGCAATATTCTGAAAAATGTGATTATAATTTACATGATTATTTTTAATATATCATGATTATGCCCTTGTAGATGTACTGACAATCAAGAAAGTTTCCACAGGGGGAAAAAAAATCTGTTACTACTAGTCAAGTGTAACACAGAAAGCAAAAAGCAGCAGACAAATGGAATTTGTGAAACTAGAGGTAAAACCCACCATATGTCCTGAGTTAATACATGATTGGAGCCATCAACTCTCATTTTTACAATTCTAATATTCATTTTTCATCACATGTAATAGTGACATCTAGGCCTCATGAGCCAAGCAGCACTACAATTGAAAAGGGAGCCAATTAGTTTTCGCCTTCCTCTAGGTCACTAACATAAGACTACAGTTTAAAATCTGTATGAGTTGCAAATAAAAAAAGCAACTGGTCAATTTTTGTGGTTAACAAAGAAATGCACAAGAACAAATAAATCTGAATGTTTCAAAGTAACCCTTCTATGGATCTCATCTATACATATATTCCAAATGTATATTTTGTGCTCCAAACATACATGGAACTCTTTCTTTGAAATTACCTGATATAATTTATCCATAAAACAAAACTCACATTGTAATACTAAGTTTATTCTGGTTATTTAACTGACAACCTGTATAACCCTAAACAAAACACTTGAATTCTTTAAGTCTCAATTGTTTCATCTAAGAATAAATGGGAATAAAAGGTACCCCCGTTTATCTCACAGAGATTTATAAAGATTACCTTATGTCATCATTACAATCACGAAGGAGATGTCATTAGATGTTATATATACATTTCACAAACTAAGACTGCACTAAACTAGTAAGTGGCAAATGCAGGAATTGAATAAAGACGAATCTGGGCTTAAAACCTGTGTTCTTTCACACACCTCTCTGTCTTATTAAGTCATAAAGTCTATATCTGCATACTGCTTTATGGTTTACCGAGCATCGATGTTTTCCTACTCCACTAAAAAATGCTCCATGAGGGAATTAGACAACTGGCATTATATCCATTTTTACAAAAAAAAAAAAAAAAAGGGGAAAACTTAGGTGCAGAGAGAAAATGTGACTTGATTAAGATCCTATTACTAGTAAGTGAGGGGAAGTGAACTCTAAACTAGGTCTCGCCAACACTAAATTCTCTGTTCTTTCTGAAGAGTGAAAGAGGAAGAAAAGGCAAAAGTGAAAGAGAACAAAAAATGTAAGACATGATTGGGGTTCAGAATCAAAATGAAAGTGAATTAAAGTAAAAAAAATTACAAACCAGCATTTGAGGAAAATGATTCCTGATTTCTACAATCCCCCAACTTTACCTCCAACTTAATATGGCAGCATCAGTGCAAAACAGTAGGTGCTAAGTAATGTGATATGAATAAAGGAGCTCAGTCTCCCAAAGTAACTATGTTAAAGGTAACAATTTTCATTTGTGCATTTGAGTCTAGAAACATTCTTCAAAATATAAGACTCATTACCACAGGACCATATAAAGTAGTTATAATTCAGCTCGAGATGTCCAAGATTTTTAGAGTCATTTAACATCAATGTATTCCTAATATTGTCAATTGATTCATTAATTAATGATCTGTTATTAATTTTATTATTTAACTCTTTTGCACCATGTTTTTATTTGCTGATCACTCTCCTTTACATTTGAAATAAGAAAACTAATAGGCTAGTTCTTTCTAATCAAATGCAACTAAATGTCATTTTATCCCCTATGTTCTTCAAATATGGACAGACACAGACACCATATTTCACAGGTCAAAGGGACATAACAGACTATTCCACCCCCTCCTTTTACTTATGAGGAAACCAAGGCCTGGAGAGGTTACCTGGTAGCTAGTTGGGGCAAAGCTAATAGTAAAATGTAGATCCTATGTCCTTTCTACATCATCTCCTAAAACTTACCCACTGAAATTATATAATCACATTGAAATATAAACAACTGTTTCTTCAAAAAGTTTTCTCTTAATATGAAGATATATAGGTAAACACTGTTCCTATACAATGATTCTTCCAATACAGTTAAAAACAACCAGTGTTCTACCAATCTAATTTTTTAAGTCTTCTAATTCAAACCTGTTAATTAAGTCTCCAAGAAAGATAATTATTTTGTATATGGTTTGGTATAAATGTCCACCTATTATCTGTAACAGTTACTGATGAAGACTGACTTACTGACAGGTTACACATTCCAATTTGATTTTGAAATTTAAAAATGATTTTTAAAATCATAGACTCATAGGTGGTTAGAGCAATCAGGACCCATGGAAATAATGCACGTTTAATTCCTTTACTGTACATACTGTTCCACCTTTCTAAAGAATACATAGCTCTATAGTTTCACATCTCTCAAATTTGATATCCTTTAAGACTCATCTCAGACTCCTCTCTGGAGTTGGAGATTGACAGAAATCAAGGCATTGGCCCAAGATCATCTTGCAGAGACTAGATAATTATTTATCTTTTTCAATCCAATCATTCTAACCATTGAAATTTTCACACTGGAACAACACTGTCAAAAATGAACATGAAAACATTTTTAGCCATAAACAGTATGAGGGCAGATCTTCCAATTTCATTTTCCTAATGTTGATTAGTCATTTTCAATCTGTGGAAGATTTTTAATAGTAAGTTCCCATCTTAATTTGGAAACAATATGGCCTGACTTCACTTTAAAACTTCATCCTATGAATATTTTCTGGCAATTGCTAATTTTGAATTTTTAGAATTAAAGTGCTTTTTAAAAAATTTCACTTAAACTTCACCTATTTACAACTAGTTTCATTTTGGAGTACTGAAATGTGAGAAGCGCATGCTTAACTGTATGGATTTTTTTTTTCTGGAGGTAATTAAAAATGTTGGGCATTAATTAATCATCTGTGTATTTATTGAGCATTCAGTATAGAAGAGACGATAACAGGTAGATATTACATTATAGGCCTTCCAGTCTTGTGAGGGACTTTAGACATGGAAACAAACAGCTATAAGCCTAGTTAAAAAAAAATCAGCAATATAAGAAAGATATACATAACATTACATAAGGAGTCAAAAACCAGAAATTTATTCCAGTCAGTGG